AATAATAGAAAATGCTAAATGAAAAAATTAAAAAAAAATTGATGTTGCTACATGTTTATTACTCTGTTTATGACCCCCTTAAAATATACGATTCTCACTGAGCCAGATGATACAATAGTCATTCTCATAGCTATTATAGTTAAGATTTGCATTACTATGTATGTCAAACTGGTTTGTTTAAAGATTTATATGTTTGATATCATCAAAATAAATAATCCATCTTATTTCTTTATTATTAACATGATTAAAACTCATGAAAAATAATCTGGATTTATTTAAATTTGTGAATTCCTATTTCAAAACACACTTCACATGTGTTGTTGTTTACAATTCAACCAAAGTTATCATTCTTGCGCAAGGTTCGTCTGAAAGAAGAACTTAGTTTCCCATACCGAGTTCAAAGATACATTTTAAAGTTTCTCTTTACAAAACGTTTTGTGTGTTTAAAATATTTAAGACATGTTTAATCAGAATATCACATCGTTTTGCTGTATCACCCACATTTTTATAGGTCTCCTGTAGGTTTCAATTACGTGTAGATGGTCGATTAGGCCACGCCTTTCAAAGATTTGCCGCTAGATGGCGATCACAAATTCCCATCCGCCGCAGATTTGCGATAGTAAAGGACGCGAGGCTCTAAGAGCCTCCGTCCAATGAGACAAAAATAACTTATCTTATTAAAAGTTCTTCAAAGACCATAAGAGAGGTCAATGCTAGAGGTCTTAATATGGGTTTAAAAATAGTACAGAAGCACTAATAGTTTGTTAAAAGTCTGCATGGTGATAGTGTTAAGTGGGGGACAGATTAGAACTTAATTTATGAGTTGATACTGAATACTAGACTAATTATTTTGTTGATCCTGATCTTCCTACTTCTCTTGCTTTAGGGCAACAATGCTTCATCTATCAGTGTATTTAACTTCTAAATTGTTGTATTATACTCAGGTGACCATTAAGGCCCTTGGGCCTCTTGTTTAAGATTATTTTACCGAGAAAAAAATTATAAACAATAAAGAAATAAATATTTATTCCATTGATTTCTTACAAAATAGGTTCCATTAAATATCCGTCAATGTACAAAAAAACTTACTACAGATATATCATCTAGTAATTAATGTCTCAAATGAAATATATGGAGATAACGAACAGTATTCAAGTTCAAAAGTCCATTAAACAATACAAAATAGGAGCAGAGCAAACACGGACCTCCAAACATCAGAGGTGGGATCAGGTGCCATGGAGGAGTGAGCATCCCCTGCCGATCGGTCACACCCGCCGTGTGCTCCTTGTCATGATCGGGAAATAATGGAATAATCCGTCAACAATTCAGTGTGTAAAAAATGGCCTAACAATTAGTATGAAAAACGTCAGTCAGCATTTGACTCAATGATAAATTGTATTTGCTGACAAGGTCATTGTATCGACCATAGAACTTATGAAATGATGACTTTCAAGGAGACAGCTGATATTCTTGTTTCATCAACTTATTTGTCAATAATTTACCTCGTTTTAGAAATTGTACATACGTACAGCATGCTCTTGCATATCGAATCAACTGAGAGATATATACCCCGTATGCAGGTGATGAAGGTATGTTGCTGCATAAGTAAGGGAAGTTGACTATTGAAAAGTTAAAGTCATCACGTTTATCATAAAGCTTGGTTGTTAGATTACCATTAACGTCTTTTTCAAGTAAAATATCCAAATATGAAACAGATGTGTCAGACTCTGTGATATCTTTTATCTCAAGTTCACCAGGATATATCGTATTGACATAAGAATGGAAATAGCCATTGTTAATTGACAATACGTCGTCAATATATCTAAATGTCGAGATGAAGGCCACAGCAAGTGTTTTCTTCTTTTCACGTACAAGATTTTGGACAAATTCTGCTTCATATGAATACAAAAAAATAATGTCTCAATGTATATTTACAACATGCTATGTCCATCTTGTGAAGTTGGAAGTCGCAATCGTTTACTTAAAAGAAAACTTAAAATTTAAAACACGGAAGAGTTTTCACAATTGCAATTGTAATCTTTTTTTACCATTTATTTGTAACAATTAATTGAAATAGTATGCCTTAATATTTGTTCATTGTCTTGTGATATTTATTTAAATGTAAAATGCGTGAAGTAAATTCTTGCCAGTAAAATTTATTTACCAAATATACCGCTAGTAATAACTATTTGTTTTATATCTTAATTAATTATAATAAAACGAACTTATCTTGAATATACTATTATACATTTCTGGAAGTTATAAATTCATTTATTCACGATACATTATTTTTTATTCACAGTTTTTTTGTTTTTGTTTTACAAAATAGATATTTTTTTTAAATGATAGAATTCAAAACTTCCTCATACCCAAGGGGTACACTGAATTATACAAAGATTGGCTTCTAATAGAATTTTAATTGTCTGACAGATAAAGGGATATACACTGTGTACACATAGGTGTTAACACCTGTGTTGGTTAAAACAGCTGCGGGGCATGATTTACAGATCCACGTGCCGTTACAGGGGTTTTAGTGCTATACATCATTGAACAAACAAAACTGTGAAATTTTTAATGACTGTTAAATTGCGAATGTACTCTCAATTAATTTTATTTTTTACAACAATATCTCATGCAAAATTATAGCATGTTAATATGATTAATTTCATTTGTGCACTGTTACATGTAATAGTCATTTGCGTGTTTTAACAAATCCCTGGACAAGAAAATATAAAAATGGCGGTCATCGAAGTTAATTTTTTACCCTGTAAATAATGTTGGAATAAAAGAATGTGTCCACGATGTTCTAAAATGGACATGATTATTGTTTGATTTCGGGTATTTCCCTAATTATAGCTGTTTTATACTACTGTATTTATGTGTTTAATGACAGAGTCAAACTACGATGGCATTGAACAGGCAAGTTGGAGAAAATACATTATATCACAATTTAAGGAAGTTTTAACTACGTTTGTATAAAACACTATTAAAATACTGTACTCATAAAAATACTATTTTATTTTTCTCAATACGTTAATATCACAGGTTAAGTTAAAGAGGTTTACATGTTCTGATACGTAATATCTACGTAAGAATCTCTAGAAATTGATAATCAAAGCCTTGTCCTATCTTCCGAATTCATCCTATCTAAGGATTTTTTAAAAATTACGGCTGAAAATGATCCTTATGACCTATACACCCCATCGACATATACCCCAAAACTAACGGTACAACATATACCGATATAGCTTGTGTGTAAACAAATCTCATAAAACTCTGTTTTGAGTGATTTTAAAGTTTGCTTTTTGATTTAAAATAAATCTAAATTAAAAAAATAAATAAATAAAAACGATGTTTTGGGTTGTCTTTTAAGTAATAAACATCTGTTGTATACGAAACCAATTGTCAGTGAAATTTTTATGAATGCATTATCTTAGTATGTATTGAAGTGAAAGTAAAAGAAAATCGCGGGAATGAATGTACAAAGCGGATGTTTACTACAAAATATGAATGCTGCATTAGAAATAAAATAAAACGAGTTCAACAGCATGAAGAAATATGCATATACAAGATAAGTTGTCAATAAATTTAAAGTGTCAAAGTGTTTAAACTAAGATATTTAAGGTAGAAGGGAAGATGAAGACAGAATTGAAAAAATACACCCCCATACACAGATAACATAAGCTTTCAAAACGATGTTTTAATGGATTTTATTGGGAACTTTTATTACGTTGCCCTCGGTATTATGATGTTTTACCGTGACAAAATGAACATCATAATAATGAGATCCTACTGTATTTGGCTTAGAATCATCAAACTTTGTCAGTTGATGTATCTTGGGTCCTCAAAGTAGGTCGACTTAAAAGTAGGTCACTGTGACCTACTTTTCAATTTTTATGGCTATAATTAAATATTTCGGCACATGCATCTTTGGTTCTTGGAGTATGTCAACTTCAATGTAGGTCACTCTGACCTACTTTTGGAATTTTATGGCCATATTTAAATAATTTCGGGTACTAATTGTTTAGAGTCATCAAACTTTGTTGGTTGATGCATCTTGGGTGCTTGGAGTACATCGACTGAAAAGTAGGTCACTGTGACCTGATCAAATATTTTTCAGGTACTACTGGCTTAGAATCATCAAATTTTGTCAGTTGATGCATCTTGGGTTCTCAAAGTATGTCAGCTGAAAAGTAGGTCACTGACCTACTTTTAAAATTTTATGGTTATAATTAAATATTTCGGGTACTAATTGGCTTAGAATCATAAAACTTCACTTGCGTCTTGGGTCCTCGGAGTATGTCAACTGAAAAGTAGCGCTAGGTCAACATGACCTACTTCTGAAATTTTATGGCTTCATATAAATATTTCAGGTACTGTTTGGCTTAGAATTATCAAACTTAGTTGATGCATGTTGGGTCCTTGGAGAATGACAAGTGTTAAATAGGTCACCATGACCTACTCTCAGGTACTAATTGGCTTAGAATTATCTTTGGTTCTCAGAGTGTTTTATCTAAAATGTAGATCATGATGACCTACTTTTGGAATTTCAAGGCTTTATTTAAATATACAGGATATTTAGAGGCTTCAAATAGAAGTGATACTGGTTGTACAATTTATCAGAAGAGCGATTCAAGGCCCTTGGGCCTCTTGTTTTTTGGTTTTTTTTTTGTTTTTGCTCACTTTGAGTATTATTTCTTGTATTATATATGTCCCCCATATCATAAATCACTCATTTTCATGGGGGTTAAATTCTTGTGGTATGAAGAGACCCATTTTCGTATCCCAATGGAATGTTAAAATTTCTTACTGCAATATCATATTTCTGGCTTAACCATAAAATCAAATCCCCTAGAACTAGTAATTTTTCTTCAAACCACGAAAATTGATCCAACAAAAATAAGTGATTTTACAAATAGCAATTGTGACCTTTGCTGTTTCTACTGATTTATTTATGTATACTGAACTCTAACTATGATAATTTATTGTTTCCTTTGCAGCATACAGTTGGGCTTTTTAGACAATTCCTCAGAAAACATGGGTGGACAGCAGAACAATCTTTCTCTGGGGTCCTATTCCTCAGATGAAGAAGAGGATTCTAGTTACCCACCAACAACCCTCTCCCTGAAATCAGTTCATTTGTCACATCCAGCTTTACCTGCAGGTTAGAGATGTCAGATCCTTTGACTTAAAGTCCCCAGAAACATTCTTCTTTCCCATTGTTTTGTTTACTCACCATTCCTTCACCATGCATTCAGTGTGCATTCATCCTTTACAGTTTTACATTCAGCATTCACAAACTGTTTGTGTTTATTGTTCAGAAAGCTTTCAGGGTTTTTTCATCATTCAGTCATTGTTTTTCACTGTCATTATAAACTTGAGAGTGATAGGATCAATCTTTTTATGAAAACAGAATGTATACACAAGAGTTTACAGGTTTTGAAATTATATGAATGGACTTTTATGGTGTTATAGAGAAAAAAATGAAAAAAAAATTATCTACCACATTTAATAAAACACTTATTTAATTAGAACAATGCTGAAAGTTTTATAAGGTCACCTTAGACTCAGGTGACCTATTGCTGTCTGTTTTTGTCTGTTGTCATGTGGGTGTTCATCATGTGTAAACTTTTCAAATTTTCAAGATTTACTAGAGCAACTGAATAAATTTCAATCAAACTTGTCAAGTTTGTTCAAAAGAAGGACAGTGCCCACTTTCAAGTGGAGATAATCAAGAAAAAACAACAATAGGGTGGAGTAATTTTAAAAAACTTTTTAAGAACCACTGGGCCAGAATAATTAAAACTTGTATGAAAACTTCCTGACATAATGTCAAAATCAAGGCCCCCCGGGGAAATGATGGGTTTACAGAAGAAGATCAAAGTTTATGTGGAAAAATATAGGAAGAAATTTTTAGCTCACCTGAGCTGAACGCTCAAGTGAGCTTTTCTGATCACCCGTTGTCCATCGTCCGTCCGTCCGTCTGTAAACTTTCACATTTTCAACTTCTTCTCAAGAACCACTGGGCCAATTTTAACCAAACTTGGTACAAAGTATCCTTGGGTAAAGGGGAGTGTAAATTATTAAAATAAAGGGCAAAGTCCCCTTACAAGGGGAGATAATCAAAAAAAGACAAAAATAGGGTGGGGTCATTAAAATATCTTCTTCTCAAGAACCACTGGGCCAGAAAAGCTGAAACTTATGTGGAAGCATCCTGGGATAGTGTAGATTCTAAATTGTTCAAATCATGACCCCTGGGGGTAGGGCTGGGCCACAATAGGGAATCCAAGTTTTACATTGAAATATATAAGAAAAATCTTTAAAAATCTTCTTCTCAAGAACCACTGGGCCAGAAAAGCTGAAAGTTATATGGAAGCATTCTGGGGTAGTGTAGATTCTAAATTGTTCAATTCATGACCCCTTGGGGTAGGGCGGGGCCACAATAGGGAATCCAATGTTTACATTGAAGTATATAGGAAAAATCTTAAAAAATCTTCTTCTCAAGAACCACTGGGCCAGAAATACTGAAACTTATGTGGAAGCATCCTGGGGTATTGTAGATTCTAAATTGTTCAAATCATGACCCCCGGGGTTAGGGCGGGGCCACAATAGGGAATCCAAGTTTTACATTGAAATATATAGGAAAAGTCTTAAAAAATCTTCTTCTCAAGAACCACTGGGCCAGAAAAGCTGAAACTTGCATGGAAGCATCCTGGGGTAGTGTAGATTCTAAATTGTTCAATTCATGACCCCTGGGGGTAGGGCGGGGCCACAATAGGGAATCCAATTTTTACATTGAAGTATATAGGAAAAATCTTTAAAAATCTTCTTCTCAAGAACCACTGGGCCAGAAATACTGAAACTTAGGTGGAAGCATCCTGGGGTAGTGTAGAATCTAAATTGTTCAAATCATGACCCCCGGGGTAGGGCGGGGCCACAATAGGGAATCCAAGTTTTACATTGAAATATATAGGAAAAATCTTAAAAAATCTTCTTCTCAAGAACTACTGTGTCAGAAAAGCTGAAACTTATATTGAAGCATCCTGGGGTAATGTACATTCTAAATTGTTCAAATCATGACCCCTGGGGGTAGGGTGGGGCCACAATGGGGAATCAAAGTTTTACATTGAAATATATAGGAAAAAACTTTTAAAATCTTCTTCTCAAGAACCACTGGGCCAGAAAAGCTGAAACTTAAGTGGAATCATCCTCAGGTAGTATAAATTCTATATTGTTCAAATCATGACCCCCGGGGTTAGGGCGGGGCCACAATAGGGAACCCAAGTTTTACATTGAAATATATAAGAAAAATCTTTAAAAATCTTCTTTACAAGAACCACTGGACCAGAAAAGCTGAAACTTATTTGGAAGCATCCTGGGGTAGTGTAGATTCTAAATTGTTCAAATCATGACCCCTGGGGGTAGGGCGGGGCCACAATAGGTATTACAATGGGGGAAATCTGGTAAAGAACAGCATGGCCAAAGTTACTCAGGTGAGTGATGTGGCCCATGGGCCTCTTGTTTAAAAATCTTTTTCTCAAGAACAGCAAGGCCATGATTGCCATATAAATATGTAAGCAATTTCTGGTAATACAGATTCAAGTTTGTTCAAATCGTGGTCTCTGGGTAAGGATACGGCCACAATAAGCCTTAAGGGATCAAAGTTTTACATGGGAATACTGTATACAGGGAAATTTTTGCCTCAGTTTAATTTCCGCCCCTTTCACCCTAGACACAAGTAGGTGAATTTAAGATAAGGCATATTCAAAGAAGACAGTGTAACATTTTAAACAGAACTATGACTGGGCTAATTTGAAACGGGGCAAAATTGTTTGCAAGTGTGAAAGGGCGAAAATAACATGGGACGCAAATAACCCTGTATACAGTATACAGGAAAAAGCTTTAAAAAAATTCTTCTCAAGAACAGCAGGGCCATGATTAGTCATTTATATACAAGTATTCTCAGGTAATGCCAGTTCAAGTTTGTTCCAATCATTAGCCCAAGGGTTAGGGTTAGGGTGGGGCAACAATTGGGGATCAAAATTTAATATTGAAATACATGTTGATAGGGAAAAAAATCTTTAAAAATTTTCTTATCAAGAACAGCAAGGCCATGGTAAGTCATCTTTCATCAGACAGTGCAGTCATCTTTGTTCCAATCTGGTCCTGTTGATAGTGTGGGACCACGGTAGAAGATCAGAGTTTAAGTTGGGAATATAGAGATTTAAAAAATATATATATATATATATATATATATATATATATATATATATATATAACTGTTTCAATAACAGCAGGGCTGCACTTATCCCACCAAACCCAGGTACCAGAGTGGGATGAAGTTTGTTATATATTGAGAATTCGTAACAACTTTTAAAATCCCTTGGCCCTTTGGTTCAGGCCCCAGGGTGGGACTAATTTGGTCATTTATTGAGAAATCGTAACAACTTTGAAAATTTTCTTTTCTAAAAGACACCTAGTTGGCAAACTGTTCTTATGATTACAATTAGTACATAAACCTTAAAAATTGGAAAATTCATTTTCCCTGCATACTTTCCAAATTGAAACATGGAAAGGAAAAAATCTGGTCATAACATGTAAAGAAATTCACAACATTTTTACCATGATTTTATTTCATATTGCATATATATACAATAAACAATTTTGTATTGAAAATTATTTTATTGAAGCTTTATAACTTACAATGGCAGCTGGAATTTAAATATTTTTAAAAGTAAATGCATTGATCAAATTTACATGATGAAAGGACATTGATAGTTTCACTATTTAGTATTGGCCTGAATTAAGTGTGTATTTTTTTTTAAATACTGAATGCCCTTTCAGAATGTGCATTCCTGATTGGAAGGACGTGGGAAGTTTGAGCTAATTTGAAAGTATTCAGATCTTGGTTTTGAAGTTATTTTTCATCTCCAGACCTAAAATTTTTGGGTCCGCTCATTATGGCTCTTTTATTATGTTACCGTAAATATTTGTTGAAAACTTTCTGATGCATTTCCATTCGTTAGGTCACCTGAGTCACTCAGTCAATCGGTTTTTGTCCCTCGTCGTCTGTCGTGCGTTAACTTTTGAATATTTTCAACTTCTTCTCTAGAACCTCTTAACCAATTTCAACCAATTTTTGCATATAGCATCTTTGGGTAAAGGGGAAAAAAATTGTGAATTTCATTGTCCCTGCCCCCTGGGGCCCAAGGGGTGGGGCTAAAACCACAAAAATAGATGCAATCTTTGAAAATCTTCTTCTTTACTCCTGGACATCAAGCAGTCAAGCTGTTGGCTTGATTGTAATAAGCTTTGGGCCCTCTACCAAAATTGTGAAATTCATGGCCCTAGGGTCATTGGTTCTGGTGCTAGGGTGGGGCTATATAGATCATATAGTGAAAGTACATTATTTCTTTGAAAATCTTCTTCTCTTCTTATGGGTATTATTTAAACAAACTAAGTGCATGGTTATGCTGCACAAGGATGCCTTTTCCAAAATTATGAAATTCATGGCCCCTGGGTCATTGGTTCTGGTGTTAGGGTGGGGCTCTATTGATTATTTAGTGAGCATGCATTAATTCTTTGAAAATCTTCTCTGCTCCTGGGTATTATTTAAACAAACTAATTGCATGGTAATGATAAACATTGATGCTTTTTTTCCAAAATTGTGAATTTCATGGCCTCTGGGTCATTGGTTCTGGTGTTAGGGCAAGGCTTTATTGATTATGTAGTGAACATGCAATAATTCTTTGAAATTTTCTTCTCTGCTCCTGGATATTATTATTTAAACAAACTAAGTGCATGGTTATGATAAGCATTGATGCCTTTTCCAAAATTGTGAATTTCATGGCCTCTGGGTCATTGGTTCTGGTGTTAGGGCAAGGCTCTATTGATTATATAGTGAACATGCATTAATTCTTTGAAAGTTTTCTTCTCTGCTCCTGTGTATTATTCAAACAAACTAATTGCATGGTTATGATAAGCATTGATGCTTTTTTTCCAAAATTGTGAATTTCATGGCCTCATGGTCATTGGTTCTGGTGTTAGGGCAAGGCTCTATTGATTATATAGTGAACATGCATTAATTCTTTGAAAATTTTCTTCTCTTCTCCTGGGTATTATTTAAACAAACTAAGTGCATGGTTATGATAAGCATTGATGCCT